CTTGGTAGATATGACAAGGCCCAAGAGTATCAAGAAAAAGCACTCGCTATAAGAAAAGAAATGGGCGAAAAAGAAGGAGAGGCAGCAAGCTACGGAAACCTAGGAACACTGTTTCGGTCGCTTGGTAGATATGACAAGGCTCAAGAGTATCAAGAAAAAGCACTCGCTATCAGAATTGAAATCTGTGACAAAGAAGGAGAAGCAGCAAGCTATGGAAACCTAGGAGCATTGTTTGAATCTCTTGGTAGATATGACAAGGCCCAAGAGTATCAAGAGAAAGCACTTGCGATCAGAATAGAAATGGGTAACAGAAAGGGACAAGCAGTAAGCTACGCAAACCTAGGAACATTGTTCGGATGGCTTGGTGAGCATGACGAGGCTTTTAGATATTTCGACGCAGCGCTTTTAATCACAAAGAGTATTGGCTGCAGAAGAACTGAGGCCATTATTTATGGAAAGCTGGCGGTTTTGTTTTTTTCGAGTGGTAAATTTTTAAAGGGTGACGATTATCTAAAGAAAGCACGTGGAATAAGAATGAAACTCGGTGACAGAGGAGGAGAAGCAGAAGATTACAGAAATCTTGGCGTTATTTCTTTTCAGCGCGGTGAATATACCAAGGCTCAAGAATATCTCGAGAAAGCCCTCGGTATTCACTTGAAAATGGGCCACAGAGCTGAGGAAGCACTCGAATACGTAAATTTAGGAGCATGTTTTAAATCACTCGGTAATCATGACGTAGCTGAAGATTACCTCAAGAAGGGTCTCTTATTAAGCAAGGATATTGGACACAATCTCATTGAGTTTAAATGCCTTTGTAATCTAGCAGTGTTGAGGCTATCACAATATGACCGTAAAGAGGCCGTTTCGTATCTTTATCGCTGCACTGAAAAATTCGATACTTTGCGGGGTTTTATTAAAGACAGCGATCAGTTTAAAATATCTCTTTTAGAGGAGCACGGCGCCTCTACCTACCAGTTGCTTAGTTTGTTGCTTTCCTCCACCGGGAATTCAGAAGATGCTCTTTACGTCGAAGAGCTGAAACGGGGAAGAGGCCTAGCCGACTTA